TTCTTTCTTTCTTTCTTTCTTTCTTTCTTTCTTTCTTTCTTTCTTTCTTTCTTTCTTTCTTTCCTCTCTCTCTCTTTCTTTCTTTCTTTCTTCTCTCTGTCTCTCTGGTGAAATCATAAGATCTATTGAAAAACAAAGCTAAAACAAAAGTTCTGTGTTTATCTGTCGTCTGGCAGTGAGAACAGATGTGTAAACTGATGCTGGATACAGGCAGAACAGAACAAAATGCTACAGGAGAGTCAAGGAAGTTGGCTTTGTTTCCTGAGGCCTGGTAGATGCGTTGCAGGCAGCAATGGGAGTGTTCATGCTGCTCCTCTGGTTTGATCCCATCAAAGGAGCTAAGAGGGTGCGAGTGGTGTAGGCACTGACTCTGGCTTCAGCTGAAAATGAAAGCACCTCCTCACAGGTTTCAATAGTGCTTTGTGGACACCCTAGTTTTCAGCAGACCCCAACGCAAGACCACGTCACTGCCTCATGTGTTTCCTCGGCCATCAGAGCACCACTGTCCTGCCCTGGAACTGCCTGGTTTGGGTTGGTCTTTGCCCACTGGAGCCCTCCTTCTAGGCAGGGACCATTCCTCACTTGGTTTCCTGGGCCCAGCTGCTGGCATAGTGCCGGACACACAGCAGGACTCACGTGTTCTGTGAATATTTGGTAAGTGAGGGAGTGAGTAATGGGTACGTGGTGTTGCATCTTCTCAGGTTCCGGGGCAGAAGGCTTACTTGGTGCTTGGTGCTGGTCCTCAGCCCTAATCCTTACAGGGAGTGTGGACTGCCTGCCACTCAGACTGCAGGTGGAGAACCCCTAATCCCGAACACCAAAATCCGAATACTCCACAATCTGAAAAAAGTGCTTTTTGAGTATTGCCATGATGGCACACGTGGAAAATTTCATATCTGATCTGATGTAACCAGTCTTATATAATAGTATAGAAAATTCCCTTCAGGCTGTATAAGGTAAACATGAAATAGAAGTGAATTTCCTGTTTAGACTTGGGTTCCATCCCCAAGAGATCTCATTTTGTGCAGGTAGATCTCCCCAAATACAGAAAACATGAAACTTGAAACATGTAGTCCCAACCATCTTGGATATGGGATACTTGGTCTGAAATAAACAACATTCCGTGGTCAGGGACAGAGCTGGGCCCCAAACCATCCAGGTACGCAGCTACCTCAAAAACCCTGAGGCTTTGGGCCAGCAGATGGTATAATGATTACATTGCTGAACTCCCACGTAGTCTACCATGGTTTGAGTCCCGGACCCGGCAGCTTAAATCTCACATCAGGTGCGTGTGTGTGTGTTTACTCAAAATCCTGAGAAGAAAATGGAGTTCAGGGTTGCGGCATGGCCATCTACCCTGGGAGGTGATTTCTTTTCTCTGTCTCTCTGTCTCTCCAGCAAGCACACACGTTCTATAGAAATAATTTCTCTTAAAAAAAAAAAAAGCTCTGAGGCTCTGTTTGATGTAGGAAATTCAAAAAACCATTACAGAGGTGACTGTGTGTGCTTACAGACCCTTTGCTCTGAGTTATCTACAGAAGAACTCTCACGACATTGGGAGTTTGAATGAATTATTATCCTTGAAGTTTAAGTTGGACTGTGAACTTCAGAACTGCCGATAAGGACACCAAAAAGAGCAAAGTATACTTACCTGCTTCCTGCCCACCATGAATTTTGTTCCTAAAGAATGAAGACCATTTGGGGGTGGGGAGGCCCATAGGAGTGCATATGTGTGTGCATGTGTGTATGTGCGAGTGCACGCACATGTGTGCACACATGTAAAAACACATGTAAGCATGGTGGTCTTGAGGAAGGATGGTGGTCCAGGGAAAGGGGACTCTCAGTACCTACTCTAACATGAGATTGAGAGGGGGCTGGTCACGATGTCCCACAGGACACCAAAGCTTTGAGGTTAGCAGTTTCTCTGTGATGCTCCAAGCTCATCCCCAAGCATGGGCGGCCAGGAGGTCTGTGGATGAAGTGTTGAATGTGCTTTCCTCCTGGCATGGAGCAGAACAGCAGTGGAGCCCGACAAGAGCGTGAAATGCTCAGTTCTGCGCACACTCCACTTTGGTCTTTCTTCAGGAACTACCGCACTTGTGCTCCGATCCTTCTGCTGGCCTCTGGGGCACCAGCTGGTGGTGGGCACCGCTGGGTGAGCCCATTGGCCTTGGCCTCGAAGCCCTGCCTGCCATCTAATTCTCTCCATTGATTTCCACTGGGTGGTGACTGACAATCAGAGTTTTACTTCGACTTCTAACTGGCAGTAAATTCACGCAGAGGCTTACACGCCACTGTTGAGGCCCTGCTCAAGGCCAGGGGCAGTCGTCCAGAGCAAGGATCTCAGCTCTGCCATTCGGTGAATACAGGAAATGGCACTTCTCTGCCTCTCTCTGCCTCAGTGTCTTCATTTGAAAAATGGAAAATTATTGGGTCATCGGGAATGTCATGATGCATTATTGCAGAAAAAAAGTCCTTATTTTCTTTCTTTTTTTTTTTTTTTGAGAGTTTTCTTTTTTTGCTATAGGGCATGTGCGCTCGCCAGACAGACAGAGAGAGAGAGATAGAAAGCGAGAAATCATCCCCAGGGGGGATGGCCATGCCACAATCCCTTCTCCTCCATTCTCCTCTCGGGATCTTGGGCACACACGCACATGCACCTGGTGTGAGTTTTAAGCCACCGGGTTCAGGATTCAAACCACAGTCAACTACATGGGAGTCCAGCGACATAGCCATTACACTAACGGCTGGTCCCAGTCCTTACTTTCTTAATGGCTGGTTGGTATCTGCCTTTTCAGAACAGTCTAAGGGACTCCAAGAAATGTGCTGTGAAATGCTTAGAGCATACTCGGCACACAGTACACTCACGAGAAAGGCAAATTCGTGTTATCCTTTCTGTTTGCCTCTCCCCTTTACCTTCAATTCGGTCATCAGAATTTCCTCAGTGTCTTATTTCCCCTGGACATCGGGCTGTGGGACGGGCAGAGTTCAGCTCGCTCCAGTTTGCAATCTGATTAGGTTTCCTAGCCACAGACGATGGCTCCTGCCGTCTCTCTGTCCGAATGAAGATCTGTCCTTGGGAAGACACCCGTGCATGCACACTCAGGTGGGTCTCCCTTCCAGCCTTTCTCCACCCCTGCATTGGCACTGGCTGCTGCCCCTCCCTGCTCATTCCCCTCCTTGTCCATTCCACTGTCCTGGAAATCCCGTTGACCTGTCTAACTCCTGGGTCTGAGTCTCACTGGACTCAGCTCTTGGGGACAGGAGGCTCATCCGTGGTGGTCTCCACTGCAGCCTGAAGACCCAGCAGGATGCCAGAGCCCATACGTAAGTGTTGTTGGGTGAATAACAATAAATATGCACGTGGTGAGGCAGAGCCCGAGTGAGATGTTTAGAGGCTTTCTTAAAGGTGTCCATGGACCAAAGGAGGGTCTTGTCCTCTTCTTTCTAATGAGCTTTCACTTTCATTTCTGTGAAGGAAGTCCAATTTGTCACCACATATTTCTTTTTCCTCTCTGGTAACCCTTTTTTTTCCCATGAAAATACCAATTTAATGGGACCCACCGCATGAGCAAAACCGCATTAGTTTAATGGACCCAACGCACTTTATGTGTTCACTCCAGGTGAGCTTTGAGTAAGGCATTCCGGCCAGATCACGCAATGTCACCTGCTAAGAAGCACAGGCGCTCCACCCTCTCTATCTGGGAAAGTAAACCTCCTGCTGTCTTTGCGGACAGACAGCCGCGATTATGTGACCCAATCAAACATTAACTTGTGCAGCTTGCCACTCGTACGTATAAATGCAGAGGGCAGGCTCCTGGCAGGACCTCAGGCAAGGGCACGATGGCTGCTGTGTTCCCGGGCCCTCGGCTGCTGGTCCTGGGCCTGCTGCTGTGTGCCCTGGGGCCCTCTGTGTCCCGTGCCGGGAAGATATTGTTGGTCCCCATTGAAGGCAGCCACTGGCTGAGTATGGTGGGAACTGTCCAGGCGCTGCAGCAGCGGGGCCATGAGATAGTGGTTCTGGCTCCTGAAGCCTCGATACACATAAAAGAAGGAGCATTTTACACCTTGAAGACGTACCCCGTGCCATACCCAAAGGAGGAGTTGGAAGCAGCTTTTGTCAGTTTCGGGCACTTGAGTTTTGATAATCTTCCTTTCCTGCAGCGTTTTGTCAAGCTATACAAGAATGCCCAAGAGAACTCTGCTCGGCTTTTGTCCTCCTGCCACCACTTCCTGTATAACAAGGAGCTCATGGCCTGGCTGGTCGAACAGAACTTCGACGTCATGTTGACAGATCCATTCGTTCTGTGTGGCCCCATTGTGGCCCAACACTTGGGTCTTCCCACGGTACACTTCTTGAATGGACTGCCGTGCAGCCTGGACATGGCAGCCACCCAGTGCCCCAGCCCGCCTTCCTATGTGCCCAGGTTGTTGTCCTCTAACCCAGACCGCATGACCTTCCTGCAGCGGGTGAAGAACGTGCTCATCTACCTGTCGGAGAACTTTCTGTGCAACCTGGTTTACACCCCTTATGAGCAACTTGCCTCGGAATTCCTCCAGAGAGATGTGACTGTCCAGGACCTTCTGAGCAGTGCGTCTATCTGGCTGATGAGAAGTGATTTTGTGCTCAATTTCCCCAAGCCCATCATGCCCAACATGGTGTTCATTGGTGGGATCAACTGCATGAGCAAGGCCCCCCTATCCCAGGTGTGTATCTGAGTGGGACCTTTACCTGCCTGGACCCTCGTCAGCACGTTGGATAGAGCTTTCCCAGAGGCAGGCTGAAGGAATGCGCTGAAGTTGTTTATAGTGCCCAGTATTGTTCATTTCCTCTTTAAAAAGTATACTTTTTTCTTTCTTGAGTGAGTGAGAGAGGAAAGGAGGGAGGTGTCCCCAACAGGGACCTCACTCTGCCATCTACCTTCTGCCTCGGCCACCCCAGCTCATGTGTGCACTCCAGGTGTGTCCAGGGAGACCTCAGGACCTGAACCCAAGACGTTTCCATGTGGCCTCAGCAGTGCCAGCATTGCTTCATTGCCAAGCCACCACAGCTGGCCTTATTGTGTTACATCCTGGCTCACAAGTCGTAGTTCTGAATTTATCTGTTTTTGACATCATCTTCTGGGTTATTTTATGTATCTGAGGTTTTGGGAAAGCGTGCTTTGGGCATTTTAGTATGTGTCCAGTGGACAGCAATCCGTGAGATGCTACAGGGGTCGAGGGCCTTAAGCACGGATGATTAGTTCGGGATGTGGCAGGGCAGGAGAGTGGGCAGCACACACCATGCCTCACTAGGGTCAGGCACCCAGGTCAAGACTGACAGCACAGCTCTTTGTTCTCTGTAGATGCTGGCAAGGCCACTTTGGCCTTGATGCTTCTGGCTCATGCTCCATTCTTTAGATATTCTAGTAGCAAGCTGGATCTTGCAATCCCTTCTCTCCCAGTAAATGAATACCCAGGCAGTGAGGTTCTGACACAGGACAGAAAGGTCACGGGTCTCATTCCGTGAAATGCTAATATATTCGTTTTCCCATAAAGAATTAAAAGTATACAAAAGTAGCATTCATATCCTCCTCAAAATCTTAGCAGATACGCTAGAGAACAAAGGAGAGGCCTCTTCAAAGGGGTTTGGGAAGGACTTTCCAAGGAGATGATGTCCCAGTGGGTGTTTATTCATTTACTCTTTCAATGTTGGCTCAGGATCTACTGCAATTCAGGTACTTCCCAGGTGTTGGATCTGCTCCTGCTGAGGACCGTTCTCACCCTCAGAGAGCCCTGGACCTAATTTCCAGAGGGCCTCTAATATAACTCAACATGCTCATGTCATTGTCATGGCAGGGAGAAACTCTGGGCAGCAGACAGAAAGCCAGGTGGGAAGTCAGGGGCGGGGTTGTGCCACCTCCCTGCTGTGCCATGACTGAGTCCCCGGCTATGGGGCTTTATGCTCATGGGTGATATGAAAGGATACCCAATGACCCTTCAAAGATCTCCTGCCCCTAATATTCGAATGTCCAATAGGCTGTTGGACAAGAATGTGTCTGATGGGGTGATCTGGTTAAGAAAGAAGGAGGTGTTATTGATTTTTTTCTTTTTCTTTTTTTACTTTTTTTCTTTTTTAAAAAAATTAAATAAAATTATTTTACAATTGAAGTATGAATTTATTTTCGTACAAAAGCTTTTTTGAAATTCATATGTAGTTTTCCCTTTACACGTATTTCTATGAGCTTTTCTTTCCCCTGAAACAATTTTTCAATCAATTAATTTACATTCATTGCCTAAGCATTATCGCAGCATACAAAATGTGATTTCCCATCTAGAATATACTGCATAGTAGCTTATTCATGCATATTATTGACAGTAAGTTTCCATTTCTAGTTTTATGTATATACATGTGTATATGTGTTTGTATATATACATTCTACCCCTATTTATTTATTTATTTATTTATTTATTTATTTATTTATTTCTTTCTTTCTTTCTTTCTTTCTTAATTTATCATCATTATAATCTTGTTTATATTACATTGAATTACATATAACTTTACAGTGTATTACATTGCTTTTTAATTTTTTTTTGAGAGGTTTTTCCCATAGGGAGTGTGCACTTGCCAGACAGAAAGAGAGAGAGACAGAGAGACAGAAAGCGAGAAATCACCCCACAGGGGGAATGGCCATGCCGCAATCCCTTCTCCTCCATTTTCCTCTTGAGATCTTGGGCATGCATGCACATGTGCACATGCACATGCGTGAATTTTAAGCCACCAGGTCTGGGACTAGAACCGTGGTCGACAACATGGGAGTCCATCGACATAGCGATTATGCAAACTGCTGGTCCCTTATATTGCTTTTTCAAAAAAGAATACCATGCATGTCAGTCAATACTGAGACATTAAAATCCCCACTTCATCATTCAATATCTTTTCATTTTTTTTCCCATTCATTATTATTATTCCAATTATTTTTTAACCAATCAATCACTATTTCTCATTTTGCTTGTAAAAAGACTTTACCCCTCATGAAATACTTCTCAGACCAATCCAGTTGAGAATACTATATACCTGTTCACCAACAGGTAATAAGCCATATCTGTGTCCCACTAGTGTCATGCCTCTCTATTTGTTCTCTTGCTATCTTTCTCTATCCTCTTCTCTTCACTCCCCCATTCCACACTGTCTTATTCTCCTTAAGTATTTTCACTGCTTTTTTAAATTGTTATACATTCAATCACATTATTTAGCTTAGAAAGTGAACATTTCAATTTGTGAACATTTATCCCCATTCCAGTTGACCAAAATATAACAACACTACCTCCCTGTCCCGACAATGCTCTGTCTTTGTATCCCTCCTCCAAATGTCCTTCCCCAGGCCCCACTCCTCCACACACACCACATCTGGCATTCACACCCATCTCTTGATGTCCTCCAATATTTCACTCTCTACCATAGAGTGTGGATAGTCGGTATATATTAAGTGAATACATACAATATCTTTCTTTCATAGCCTGGCTTACTTCACTCAGCAATAGATCTTCCATATCTGACCACTTTCTATCAAATGCCAGGGTCTTGTTATTTTTTATGGCTGAGTAGTATTCCGTAGAATATGCCACACCTTTCCAATCCATTCATCCGTTTGTGGACATTTGGGTTGGTTCTATGTCCTGGCAATCATGAATAATGCTGCAATAAACATTGATGTGCAAGCACATTTCTGACTGAACATTCTCCTATCCTTTGGGTAGATACCCAGAAGTGGGATTGCTGGATCAAATGGTAGTTCTATTTGTAGATCTTTGAGGAACCTCCAGATTGTTCTCCACAGTGGCTGAACCAGTTTACACTCCCACCACCAGTATAGGAGAGTTCCCTTTTCATCACATCCCCACCAACATTTATCACTTTTTATATTCTTAATCTTTGCCATTCTGACAGGGGTTAGGTGGTATCTCGTTGTGGTTTTTATCTGCATCTCCCTTATGATGAGGGATGTTGAGCATTTCCTCATATGCTTTCTGGCTGTTCATATGTCTTCCTTGGAGAGATTTTTGTTCAGCTTATTTTTTCCCATCTTTTAATTGGGTTAATTGTTATTTATTTATTTATTTATTTTTGCATAAGGCGCTTGAGTTCCCTGTGTATTCTGGTTATCATTCCCTTGTCTGAGGCAAATTTAACAAAAATATTTTCCCATTCTGAGGGTTGTCGGTTCACACTTGTTACTGTGTCCTTTGCTGTGCCGAAACGTCTTAGT